GAAGGACAGTAGAAAAACAAACTCCATTTAGGCTGAGAGCACTCAGCCTTATTATGTATAGATCTTGTGTATATATATATATACACATATATATATATATGCAGCCAGCTTTAGGACTAGAACAGAGAGAATCACTTGAAGGAAGCTGCAGAATTACAGTAACAGTCGCTGCAGCACTTTCCTCCAGGGAAGTCCTCAGACTGAGACTCTGAATCGACTGCTGTTCTCTTTTACACTGTTGTGTTTGGATCTTTTTTGCACCACTGTGCATAAATGAAGGGTGGGTTTTACTGAACGCAGATTGAAAGGGTGAGGGATCAGAAGGGGTTTCTGTCGGCCGCAGGCCTGTGAGTGAAAAGCTATTTTAAAGTCTACGGCTTATTAACAGAGGTCACTTCAAAAGGTCGAGTCCATCACTGCTGTGTGCCACTGCTCTCTGCCCTTTCAGACCTTTGCTTTTTATTCTTTAAGCAGCAGAGCTGGAAAACATGTCCCTAACTCCCCAACCCAGAAGCTACCTTCAGTCCTATTCTGCTTAGCCATGTTTAGTGGTGTGAAATACAAAACTTATAATTAATTTTGTGAGAATCTATCTAACATAAACAAATAGAGCTAAGCTTTAGGAATTAAAACCAATAAGAAATTGATTGACACTGTAGTCCACCAGTGGACCCCTGGGGGATGGGCTAGGCTGGCTGTAGCCACCGATGGAGAATTGCTGGCTTTGTTGGAGAATTCACCCCCTTTTCGAGATTTAATGTTTGGTTACAGTCTATGATATTTGTTTACAAAAAGAAGCTGAAACCGTCGATACCAGGGTTGAAGAAATGCTTTATGGCAAGCTGGTCAGATGTTTAAGTCTTCTTCTTCAGCTATCAACTGCTGCTCTTTTTGTCTGGAGATCTATTGTTTGCCCAGTGTGTGTGTTTTCTCACCAGGTTCTCCAGCTTCCTCCCACAGTCCCCAAAACATTTAGATCAGGAATTGGACCTTTTCACTCATTGTGATTTTTTTTCTGTCCTTATGGGACCCTGTGATGGATTCTTTTGGTCTAAGTTTACAGCCGTACCACATTCCTACAGACTAGTTTAAGATGGTGTCAACTTTTATAAGCTGAGAATACTTTATCATAGATTTTTCTCCACAGTGGATCGTAGCTCATCAAGGATCTAAAAAAAGTAACCATAAAAGACCATACAATTGTTGCTGATGTTTTTTGGTTATAGTATATACGATGTGTAGAATTTTAACCACAGTAATTTTCATCCCCCCCTCCGAGCCTGCTGGAAGTCATGTGCTCAACCTTCAGCTTTTGGTTGTTGTTTTTTTATTGATCTCCTGCAATAGAAATTCTCCTTGAGCTCCAACATCCACACAGAGGTCAGGGCACCAAGCCTACAGCTGATGGAGTCTCTGAAGTGTTCTGGGAAGTTTGGAGTTCACTGTTTGCTCTGAAGTCACGGCTTAGTGTGAATTTCTACTGTAAAGAGTGTTAAGACACAAACACAAGTTAATGCATCTTTTGAAGTATTTCTTACTTTTTCTTTTTCTTTATCTGGAGTCATGTGCGGTATATTCATACATGCACCCTCATTAAAATTGGTGGGAAAGTAGTGAGCAATCACCTCACTAATGTTTTGTCTTTTTCAGGATGGACTAAGTTTGCGAGGTTGACCCGGGCACTGACCAACAACCGTAACACACTGCAGCAGCTGGCACCTATGGGCAGACATGAAGTCAGTCATAAACAGTCCAGACTGGCCGAGGTGAGCTGGAACACAGACTCACACATTCAGTTCAGTTCAGCTCAGCTCACACACACACACACACACACACACACACACACACACACACACAGCCTCACTTTGTTTGTACAGTCTGAATTAGTTAATAGGCCTTTTTGTTCTTAATATGATAAAATGTAATGCACAGCTGGGACGACCATGAAAAAACAATTTGCACATTGCCATCAACTGCAAAGCTTAAACATTAGCAAAATTAATACATACTTTCATAACTTGTGGTCAATTCAAAAACAGCTGAAAGTTATCAAATCTACCAAAACCAGATGAATTAACCAAGTGGTAGCTAAAACATATATATATTAAAATAATAGGACCAAAATTGCTTGAAAAAACAGGCAACAATAGCTATAACATTAGCACAACCTGGAAAAATTAGCACAGCTATAAGTTAACAGAAATATTGATTACTAAACCCTTTTTATTCTTCTCATAATTAGATGAAACACAATCTCTTTCAAATTGACATTCAATGGCAGGAAAAGTTATCAGAAATAATACAGGCCGGAAAAACTTAAGATAAGGCTAGAAACAGCTAAAGGGAGCAAACATGGCAAAACCAATTTTATAAAATGCAGGATAACAAAAAAAAAAAAAAAAAGTTTTCTTGCTCACAGTTATTTGCCAATTTGAATTGCCAAAAATTTAGCCACAGTTTAACCAACACACTAATACAAAACCCTGATTACAAAAACCTGAACTTTAAAAGTTGGCACAGCTAAATAAATTAATAATTTCCCAAAAGTTTAACTAAAAGTTAGCTTAAAAAAATAACAAAGTTCAATTCAAAGTTACCCAAATTCCTCGGGCACCAAACCTGTATCTGTATTTACAATTTCCTAATTTTTAATACAGTGTAGGTAAAATATCTGAAGCGAAATCACTGCAGTTGATGCCACTTCAGGTTCTGGGATATTTTAACAGCATCTTTCACAACTTTTAACTCTAAACTTTATTTCAGCAAAAACAAACTTCATAAGAAAACATGAAGCAGCAGTGAAAGCTCTTCATCATTTCTGGTTCGAACCTAAAATCCGTTCCTGGATGAATTTAAACCTCATACTCTTTCGTCCGTCCTCTCAGACTAAAGCTCAGGGTTTTAAAAAAATGCAGCTGCTTCACAGAGACAGCGCTCACTGCTTTCACTGCAGCTGTCATTAAAATTGCATGCTGGGTAAAGAGAGAATGAGAGAGAGAGAAACGGGTGACTGTGGGCACTCTAAACGATTGTGAACTTCTGCTGGGAAATTTGTAGAATGTAATAGAAGACAATGGTTTGATGTCTCCCTTCCTTCCTGCTTGGATTCATCCATTACGGTTGGGGGTTGATGCGTCTGACTTTAACCACCATTAGTTTAAGTTTCATTTACACACTTTTCACCAGAACTGATGGAGCGGTGAATGTCTGAGCTGGTCTTACCTTCAGGAACGGTTAAAGGACAGAGAGAAGAGATAAGATGGAAACATTGACAAGACTGTTTGACTGGAGCTCAGCAATAACAGTGAAAAGAGGAAGTAATCAATAAAGTAAACTCTCATTGGTGCTCGTCTGTTAGGGGGAACAAAGGATAATGGATAAAAAACGGACTCCACCCCCGCACTAACCAATCAATGCCAGTTTTGAATGATTGTGTGGGGATCAGACAGCGTTGATGTTGACGAAGCACTGCCGTAGGTCAAGTTTATTCTCAATACTATAATATATAATAAGTTCACGTACGTTTGTCCTCCTCTAATGTAAATTACAAATCTATTTCTATATATCTCCTGAATTTCAGTCTAATCACCTTTGCAGCAGGGTTTCAATCAAAGATTTTTTGCTTTGACACCAATCATTATTGGAGGACAAAACGATATAGATAGTTAACAACATCACATGGTTATGCTAATATCAGCCGATAATAATGGTTGTTCGATATGTCAAGCCAAAAAGATTGTTTTCAGCATTTTTGACCTGACATTTTCTCGAAGTCTGCTACCAAAAGTTGTGTGCTTGAATGGGCAGAAGGAGGGCAGGAGTCAGAAATAGACTCAGGGGGACAGAGGAGGAGAAGGCGGACCCTCCAATGTCCTGAGAGCTCTCCACAGATTTTGCAGGTGATCCATCTGCTACTCAGACTGAAAGAAACAGCTGGAGGTTTCTGTCGAGTGTTGTACAAGTGTCACAGATTTGAATCTTCTTTATTTCCCACAATGCTGCTGGGCTGTTGACGCTCCTGCTCCTGACCAGCACATGTTTGAGTGGCAGCTCTGCTGGATGGAAGCTCTTTAAGATTCAGCTTTTCATCGTTGCTCCACTGTGTGTTACTTTAGTAATGACCAACGCTGGACGTGTCAGTGTAAAGTCTGTTCGTGATTGTGTGTGTGTGTGAGAACAGAGACAACCAGATACTGTGTGTGATGTGTAAAGTCACCTGATCTCATGAATAAAACTGATTTTATTTGTATTTTCATTCGTCATGTTTCTCCCTCTCAGATTCTCCGGTTTCTTATTTCACTCGTTTTTCTCTCTCTGCTTTATTTCAAGCCAAATTTATTCCTGATTATTTTTTATCACCACCAGGACCAGAAAATATCATAGATATATAAATAAACATGGAAGATAAACATCACAAATGACCAGGTGTCTGTTATGTTTCTCTTCTCACGCCTGCTGATTCTTTTTAATCTTTAATTTACTTTTCTTTCTCTGGGCTGTGTCCAGTCTTCCCTCAGAGGAAGGTTTATTTCATTTTGATGAAATGAGCTGGTGTTATAATCAACCTAACACATCATTTAAACCCCTTTTAAATACGCCTGAATCTCAATTTCATTTTATTTGAAACTGTTTTGAGTTCAGTAATGAAATTTAGGTAAGGTTATTTACCTGAACTGGGATTTTGATTCATTTTTGTAGTAAAATCTGTTTAAGAAGGAATCTTCTTGTTCTAAACCGTGTCCAGGTTTTGCAGCTGAACTCTGACATCCTCCCGCAGTACAAGCAGGAGGCTCCAAAGACTCCTCCTCACATCATCCTCCACTACTGCACCTTCAAGACCACCTGGGACTGGGTCATCCTCATCCTCACCTTCTACACGGCCATCATGGTTCCGTACAACGTCTCCTTTAAGACCAAGCAGAACAACATTGTGTGGCTGGTGCTGGACAGTGTGGTGGACGTCATCTTCCTGGTAGACATTGTTCTCAACTTCCACACCACCTTTGTGGGTCCTGGTGGAGAAGTCATCTCTGACCCCAAGCTCATCCGTATGAACTACCTGAAGACGTGGTTCGTCATCGACCTGCTGTCTTGTCTGCCCTATGACATCATCAACGCCTTTGAGAACGTGGACGAGGTGAGAATGCGGTTTCTGATATTATCTGCGATGTGGATGTTGCCTGATGTGAAGGAAGCACAAACAAACACAAAAACATGCTTGTTACCTGATATATACAATAGAAGCTAAGCTGTAGTCAAAGCTGGACCTAAACTGTTAACAGAATGACCCTAAAGTTATAACAGTTAGTCCAGAAACGTCTCAGTTAGCTAAATTTACCCAACCTGGCTGATAAGAAAATGATTGCTTCAAATACTTGAGCACAGATAATGCCAAAAAATGAATGTGAGTGTGAATGGTTGTTTTTCTCTGAGTGTGGCCTTGTTATGGACTGGAGAACTGTCCAGGGTGTACCCCACCCTCACCCACTGACAGCTGGGATTGGCTCCAGCACAACCCTACAAAGGAATATGTGCTATATAAGGGACGGATGGAACAGTAGAAATCTTTACTTTTAGGAGTTTCTGTCTATCGTTAACGCTTGCAAAGGTAATTTCAAGAATTCTTATCCTTTTGGCAGATTCTGTTGATGAGGATTAATTGATTCATTAAAGATTTGTTAGTGTATAATTGGGCAGTTTTCCAGTGTAGTTCAGTAATTGGTGATAATTCTCTTGTATTTTGGATCCTCATCATTTTTTGCTGCAAATGTTCTTCTGGCTGATTCTGCTATGAGCTCTGTTACTCCATTATTGAAATTCAGTAAAAGTCTGTGTCTTGACGTCGGCGTGGCTCCTTTTTTAAATGTGCTGACGGGCAGAAGAACTGAATTCAGACTGATGAAGGACGGCAGTTTGTGGTTTCAATTTTCCATTGTGGCTGAAAAAAAGGCTGAAGAACAAAAGCTGATGTTAATGCTTTCTGATGTAGGAGAAGGAAAGCCTTTCGGCTCCACAAAGACAGTCTGACAGTGTGTGTATGAATGTCTGAAATTCTCAGAGCAGACACCAAAACCCTCATCATCTCTGGTGTCTAATTAATCTGAGGAGATGCTGCCGCTGGATTTGTCTGGGTTAAGAAATTAAACTTTAGATCCTGGTCTTGTCCCTCAGATCCCTACCCCCAGTTTCCATTATGGGATAATGAGGCCCCCTCCTCCAGGATTTTTCACGGCCTTTTACACCCGTCAGATAAACTGGACTTTTTATCAATACGCCCTTGAGTCCATTACAGGTGATT